CCGCACCATATTTGTAGTACCATTACAATTACTCACTTGCCGATTTATGGCCAGCGCTTCGTGTCGCATAAGATTGAATTGAAAGGAAATGAAGGCATAAGCCTAAAAGGGAATCAAATTGCACGATGAGGAAATCAAGAAGGGAAGTGCTCCTAACAGCCTTGTAGCCTCTCGAAGATAAGTACAGACGCCTCTGTACCGATCCGCGAGACTCTATTAGACTTGCTCATGACTCGTGAGAACTAAGGGAACCTAGTGCTCTAATACCATGTTGTCACGACCCAAAATCCACTAAGGGTCGTGATAGCGCCGGACACCATTGTCAGGCAAGCCAACACCAAATAATTAGAAATTTCTCGTTTTTAGATATTTATGAAATCATTTCTTTTATACATTTAGACAATAAATAATAAATTCCACTGAATAAATAATGGTGCCTTTAACAATTTTAAAATACTAAATAATCCCATAGACATCCCAGAACCCGGTGTCACAAGTGCATGAGCTATTTCTAGGAAATCAAACGAAGTACAATAACTGTCTGGAATATAGATTTGGATAGAAGGCAAATACTATACACTGAAAGAGACTATGCCAGTTGTGGGTCGCCTCGAGAGATGCAACTCATCGAAGTCTTTGTATCATCCATGTTGCCACGCCCATTAGGCCATTAGAGGTACATGTACCTGTGCAACAAAAATACACATCAAGTGTAGTATGAGTACCAAAAACGACATGTAGTCAGTAAGTATCCCGTCTAATCTTGAAGAAGTAGAGAGGAGAGGTCGACTTTAACACTTACTAGTGGTCCAATAAAGATACACCATTAAAATAATAAATCAAGAAGTTTTATAAACATGATTGTAACTCAATAGAATGAAGCAATTAAATAATTCTTTTCTTTATAGGAAATTCCCAAACTCCTTTTTATTATTTATACATTTATCTTAGGCCACGGAGAACAAATATCAACATTTATAATTTCTAAGGCAAATATTACAAGCATGCGCAAACCGAGGTCGTACGATCCGATCTAATAATATTTAAACTGTGCACTGCTAGAGGGTCGAATGACACGAACCATAGATGCATCTATTTAATCTACCGAGGCGTTCGGCCCGTTCCACAATAGATAAATACATTCAAACAATCAAATCAAGAATTCATCAAGGAGCAATTATTCAGGAAAAGGGAAGTTTCTCTTTTAAAAGTCAAGAAATGATGTCTAGCCTTTTAGAAATTTATTTATACATTCAATATGTGTTTAGGCATTTTTAAATTGACAACAGGTTGCAAATATTACAAGTAAAGCCTGCTTTTGGGCCCTAGACTATCCGGACTTAAGCATGATAGTAGCTACGCAAGGACTCTCATCACCTCGTGCGTACGTAACCCCTACAATTAGGAGCACATAACCAATTAACTCACCTATGGAGACAATTCCCTCTTACAAGGTTAGAAAGGAGACTCACCTCGCTCTGATGTTCCATAATCGGCATTCCACACCCTTCTGAAGACTCAAATCGGTGCACAATGCTCCACAACTAGTCAATAATTATGCACATCCATTAATATTTGTTCAATTACTCATAATAATTTAATTTATAACAATTCCTAACGCCGATCGAAAAGTTGACAAAATCGCCCTTGGGCCCAAATGCCCGGATTCCGAAATTTTTGGGAGATAAAGTTTACCCACAACCTCACGAACTCAAATATATAATTTACTCTCAATTACATGTCCAAAATCGTGGTCAAAATCCAAGAATATAAATTTTCTAGGTTTTTCTCAAACTCCCAAATTTTTACCAATTTTCATGCTAAAATCTATACAAAATCAATGTATTTAACTCAAAACTAACATAACCCACTTACCTCATGCTTGATGGTGAAAATGGCACTCCCAAGTTGCTCCAAATTGGCTCTAATGGAGGAAAAATGGTGAAAATGATCCAAACCCTCGCTTTTAAAAGAACACACTGTCTAGCTCGCTTCTCGCACCTGCGGTCCACCTGTCGCTTCTGCGGCTCCGCACCTGCGAAAATTTCCATTGCAGGTGCGGTCTTAGCTAACTCGCCCAAGACCGCTTTTGCGGAGCCAGGACCGTTTCTGCGGTCTCGCTTTTACGGAAGTTGCGTCGCACCTGCGCCCCCAGCCAAGCCCAGCCATTTCTGCTTCTGCAGCTCCACACCTGCGGCCAAAACCTCGCAGGTGCAGTTACACCAGATACCAGTTGCTTCAATTCTTCTTCAAATTCCAAATTTGATCCGTTAACCATCCGAAATCCACCTGAGGCCTCCGGGACCCCAACCAATTATACTAACCAGTCCCAAAATATAATGTGGTCCTGCTCGAGGCCTAATATCACATCAAACAACGTCGAAATCACGAATCACACTCCAGTTCGAGCTTAATGAACTTTAGAATTTTAAACTTCTACTTTCGATGTCTAAACCTATCAAATCACGTACGATTGACCTCAAATTTTGCACACAAGTCATATTTGACACTACAGACCTACCCCAACTTCCGGAATCGGAAGCCGACCCTGATATCAAAAAGTCCACTTCCAGTCAAACTTCTCAAAACCTTCAAATTTTCTATCTTTAGCCAAATGACTCCAAAATGACCTACGGACCTCCGATTTCACTTCTAATTGTGCTCCCAATACCAGAATCACCATACAGAGCTATTCCAGACTCGGAATCCTAAACAGACATCGATAGCATTAAAATGAACTTCAACCCAAATTTATGAAATTCTTCTAAAAATGCTAACTTCTACAATAGGCGCCGAAACGCTCCCAGGTCACCCAGAACCCGATCCGGGCATTCGTCCAAGTCCGAAATCATCATATGAACCTGTTGGAACCTTCAAATTCCGATTCTGAGGTTGTTTACTCAAAAAATCCAATCTTAGTAAATTCTTTCAACTTAAAGCTTTCGCAGTGAGAACTCTCTTTCCAAATCAACTCCGAACTTCCATGAATTTAATTCCGACCATGTGTACAAGTCATAATACCTGAAGTGAAGTTGCTCATAGCCTCAAACTGCCGAACAACGCGCCAGAGCTCAAAATGACCGGTCGGGTTATTACATTTTTTCTTCCTCAAATCATAAGTAAGTGATTCTTAACTCATTTATTTCAATCTTTTACTTCTTTTCACAAGATTTTATCCTAGAATCTAGGGTTTTCATGGTGGAATTGAGGATTTTTGGGTAGAACTTAGGAATTTCGAAATTTAGGAATTTAGACCTCAAATTGAGGTTGGATTCCAAAACCAATTGTATATCCGGGCTCGGGGTGAATGAGTAATCAGGTTTTGGTCCGAATTTTGGGTTTTGACCAAGCGAGCCCGGGGTCGGTTTTTGAATTTTTGGGGAAAATATTGGAAAACCTATAATTATGTATTGGAATTAATTTCTTTAGCGTTAATTGATATTGTTAAGTTAATTATGAATAGATACGAGTGGATTGGAGGTGGAATCGAGAGGTAAAACGGTAATTGAGCTTTAAACTGCCCGTTGGATTGAGGTAAGTGTTTGGTCTAACCTTAACTTGAGGGATTAAGGATCCCCGACTTAATTGATATGTGAAAGTCCATGTATGTGGCGTATATGTGAGGTGACAAGTACCTATACGCCGCCAAATTATCTGTTTAGCATGTTCCCTTCCCCGTTCCTAGTATATTGTTTCCTGTTTTAACTGCTACTTGCTTATTGATGCGTCCATGTCTAATTGCTTCTTGTTAAATGTTGATTTCTCTATTGAAGGTATTAGTTGCCCGTAGTTTCATCATATTACATTGTTGGTTTAAGTTGGCTTATTGATACTTCAAGGTACACTTTGGTTGGTCTCGCTGTGTAGTATTAACTGATGAAGTTTCTGAATTGTATAAATTTTCCATTGTTTTGGTTTGAGGTATAAATGTTGTGGAGGGTTTTGACCTAAATTATGAAATACTTGTTCTTATGTTGTGATTGGTAATGATATGGTGGGATCGGGTTGTACGCCGCAATAGGAGGAATAAGGGTGAATTGTTAATGATATGGTGGGATCGGGTTGCGCGCCGCAACAAGGAGTAATAAGGGTGGACATGTGGGATCGGGTTGCACCGCCGCAATATGAGGAATAATGGTGCTATATTGAGGAGTAATAAGGGTGGACTGGTGGGATCGGGTTGCACGCCGCAACAAGGAGTGATAAGGGTGAATGTTCATATTGTTACTTGTTATATGGTGGGATCGGGATGCGCACCGCATTATTTTGTTATTTATGTATTCTTTCTCTGTTGGGATTTCATTCCGTGGTATTGTAACTCTCTTAAGGATTGATTATACTAAGTACTGGCAAATTATTTGGATTTTGTATTTATTTGCTGCAAGTTACTGTTCCATTTCGTTATGTATTACCTTTTTGCTTTATTATAAACTGTTGCAGGTCATATTGTTTAAGCCCCGCCTTAACCTCGTCACTACTTCGTTGAGGTTAGGCTCGACACTTACTAGTACATGGGGTCTGTTGTATTGATATTGCACTCTGTACTTTCTGTGTAGATTTTGGAGCTGGTTGTGACTGATCGAGAGATCAGGTGCAGGCACTCGTCAGGAGACCCAAGGTAATCCTGCAGGCGTCCGCAGGCCCTGGCGTCCCCTTCCTATGCTCTACTTTTCTATTTTATTTTCTTTCGAGACAGATGTACTTTTCTTTCAGACTAGTATTTGTAATAATTCGTAGAACGTTCGTGGATTGTGACACCAGTTTCTGGGTGGTAATAGTTTTGGAGTTGTTAATAGCGTATAGAGAATCAGTTAATCATGTACTTCCACTTTTATTTATGTTTGAATTAGCTTTTGTTAATCTTAACTATGCAAATGTAAAGGAAAAATGTGATTATAACTCTAACGTTGGCTTGCCTAGCGAGTGCGATGTTAGGCGCCATCACGGTCCCGACGGTGAAAAATCCGAATTGTGACACATATTGGCTTCAATTCCAAACGAAAAACCAAAACACCAATTGATAGCATATTATACATTAAAAAAATGAGACCATAATAGTAAGTCTCTTAAAACCTTGCACAAGACAAAAAAGTTTTCAAATTTTAGTCCTATTCTTCATCTTGACACATCTTGCATTCAGCAATCAACCACTGGATTGTTGATGTTGAAGATGCTAGCCATTTTTTATTCCTATTCCAAGAAAAGGAAGAATAATTGAAGACGGAAAAGTAAAACCTGCAAAAGAAGGGAGAATGATGCTTACTTTGAATTTCAGAGACAACAGATCCAAAAAAGAAAATGCATTGGCATCCAGAAAATAGAGAACATATTCATTAGAAGTTGAACTCCTTTGATTCCGTATGAAAAGCTACAACTATTACAACCACATAATAACAAATATTAAAACAATCATAAAATCCCCAACTTAGAATCCTAGGTTACAATCATAAAATTCACCCATTAATAGAATTAGCTTTCCATCTAAACTTATAAAATAATGAAAAGAAAATTTCTATTCGACTATTGCTTCTCCGACATATAGATTTCAGCACAACTCAGTACCTGAAGATGAAAGACTGAGAAATAGAAATTGAAGAAGAAGACGATGAGTAGGCAAAGCTTTTGAGGAGAGAAAGAAAGATGAAGCAAATGCAAAGAGATTGTCTTGGAGAGTAAATGCGGTGGCTATATGATTGAGAGACACGTTTAAAGTCTAATATAATCTAGAATAACCTAAAAGCTACACATAGTATTTGCATAGCTAGAAAAAGGCCACGTATAAAAATCATGTGCAATGACTTAAGTGCCCTCAAACTTTGTTAAAATGATCCCAAGCACACATGTTTAAACTCTTTCTCTTCTATGATATAGAAAAAATAGAAATTATAGATAGAAATAATACATGGATTAAGTGCTGAAATGACAAATTTAGCCCGAATCGTTTCACCCATAAAGGCTTTCCTTTCGCTCAAACTGTTTGGAGAGCAAGAGTTGGAGATGCTGAATCGCCGATGCTGCTCACTCACTACTGGGCTCTTCCTCTTCTCAATCAATTAGAGACAATACTACTGGGCTCTTCCTCTTCCTCTTCTCAATCAATAAACTGAAATATATTTCTCTCGATCCAGCGCCTACATGTTGTTCTCTCCTCCTTGAGGTTAGAAGTTTTTGAAACCCTAAACTTTTCTTTTCTTCTTTTTTCTCCTTTTGTTTTTTCCTCTTGTGAATCTGGCGAGAGGCGAATTTCTTGGTGAATTTTCTCAATATTTTCAAGTAAATTTGAAGTTTGATTACACCCAAATCTGATGCGGGGTTTGTTTTGTTTGTCCAAAAAAAAAATCCAATAAAAGAGGATTCTTGGATATATGCTCAGTTTAATAATATAAAGCTTTCGGTGGTTTTTGTGTAGCTACTTTGTAAAGTCTGTATGTTGTATTTTTTTGTTACCTCGTAGAATATCCACAAATGTACATATATGTGGATGTTGTGGCCTTAAAGGAGGCTATTTTTGTATATCAAATGTACATGGAAATTTTTGACGTTAGTGTTTTTATAAAGTAGCCAACTCAAATGCACATGAAGGTCAAAGCTTAACTAATGTATTTAGCTACTTGCAGAGAAATTGATGTTTTTAATGTACTTGTCTTCAAATTCTAGAAAATAATCTTGGTATGGTTGGTGGAAATATTTATTTGATTTATGGTTAAACAGAAATGAGAAATCCTGAGGATTCTAACTTCCTTTCACTTGCTTCTGCCCATATTTCCTCCAATTGTAGCCATCTTCTGCTTTCTGTTCTGTGATGGTTGAGTGTAATGTACTGGAGCTGGATTACTCTGCATGTTCTCATGGGAGAAGCTCTGAATTGGAGCCACTTCTGTTTTCACCCTAGTAATTTTCATTTTGCTGGTTGGCATGTTGTTGCCTTGTCATTAAGTCTTCCTGTTTTATCCAATTAATTTATCACAAACCAATTTTAGAGATTTACAATGGAAAGGAAACTTGAAAGAAAAGAAAACAAAACAATTTATGGTTGTTGATGTAAGGCTTTAGTCATCTATGTTTTATTGCAAATTTCAATCTTGCTTCCATGTCATGACCCGCAAAATGCACAAAATATAGTTTCATCGGAAAAACTATCTTTCCAGCAAAGAGATAGACATAATATGGATTCTAGCTAAGAGATATACTTGGATGGTTCAACAATTAGCTGTTATTTAATCTGATAAGCTGACACTTTTTAAAGTTTCATAAAAGAAACAGCTAAATACTAGTCATGTTATACATATTTTACAGAAGATAATAAAAACAATTACCCTCAATTCCTAGCAACTTGGTGTCTGCTATATGAATTTTCACTAATCATGTCGCTCCTTTTAAGCTCATCTCACACCAATATTGTACATAAATAATGTGAACTCGAAAATTCCCAACAACTAAATATGATAGGAGAAGCCCCCCCAAAAAAAAGAAATATACTGATGAGTTTATTGGAGCAGAAGACTGAAACATTGATGATGAAGTAGAAGTCATACTTTGGAAAGAGAAATAAAAAATACTTGAGTTATCCTCCTTTGAATTCAAATTACCAGAACTCCCTGTAGTTGGAGATGGGAGAGTCTGCTGAAAACAATTCAAAATTAATAAAAAGGAAATTCTTGGTCAGACAAGTTACAAAAATTGAGAAAAATTAGTAGTACTTCAACAAAAATGTTAATCATTTTAAAAAAAAAGAAGCAGCAAAGAACTTGCATTGGAATTGCTAAACAGAATTGTTGAGTCCCATGCGCCGATGGACTTAAAGGAGGAGGATAAGCAGGATAAGAAGAAGGAGAAGTTGGTGATGAAGATGAAACCATTGGCAAAGAAGAAGGTGGAAATGACTTGAATTTTGGAATCTCATCTTTGTTTTGTTGATTCATTCTTTAATCAATGAACCCCCAATTCAATGAATTCTTTTCTTGATTCATTGAACTGTTGTTACTCCTCATGTTGTTATTATCATTATCAGAAAGTAGGTCACTGAAAGAAGAAGAAGCCATGAATTGGGAGGATAAAAAGGAATAGTTGTTGGTAAAAGAATTCATAAAAGTGTTCATATTTCCACATGAAGAATCCAAATAATTTTTGCAAGAAAACAAAAATAGGATAAGAAAGAATTCAAGCTTTTTGAAAGGTTATTGGATTCTAGTTTGAAAAAAATTTAAGAGGAAAAAAATGATAAGTGCTTAGATTTTTTAAACAAAAAACGTTGTGTTTGTTTGTGCATAAATTCTTAGATCTTATGTGGATGTTGTGGCCTTAATAGTGTACTAGTCCTATCTAAATTGTTGCATCATATGGCTTTGAAGTGTACGTTGCATCTTATGGCTTTGATTGCAACTGTGTTACTCGGACACTTCAAAAATGTTGTTGGGTATGTGTCAGATCCTCCAAATTTAGTGCACTTTTGGAGGATTCGACACGGATGCGACAACACTTTTAGAGAGTCCGAGCAACATAGGATTACAATGCTTTTACGTGCCAACTATATACCTTGCCTTGCCTCATGTTTTAAGAATAAATTAGAACAAGTTGAACTAAAGAAGTTACTAGAGCATGTAAACACCAAACATAAGGAGTGAAAATATGCCTTCAACTTGACATCAGTTCAACTATAGGACGAGGAAATGAAAGTAAGTAACACGTAAAGTTCCAGTTTATATTGTTGCGTAAATAAAAATGCAGAAAAAATAAGCCAAGGGTATAACTGTTAACAATTATTTTATTTTAAAGTTTATATAATGTATATTAATTTTAATACAACAAAATCAAACATCCAAAGAAATAATTTTTGCATAATTAATTCTGTATAACTTGTCCCTGCATAACTAATCATTATTAATATCTACATAACTCTAACTAGCAACCAAACGACCCCTTAGTTAATATGTGCAATCAAGTCATCACCAAAACTTATTTGGTTTGAGAGTCTCCTAATTATGATAGAAATAGCACGCACTAGTCACTTTTTGTCATGTCTTTGAAAAGTAGCTTTGTGTTGGAGTTTCAATATCATAAGGACTGAAACGTGACTATTTGTGAATTTATTCTTTACTATATGGAGTTTCAGTCTCGATTGGATATCCACTTTTTTTTTGGTAGTATTACTATATGGTATTCGATACTTCTGACCCAACTAATTCACCATCAAAGTGAGAGCAACTTCCTGCTAGAAATTTCTGAGTAAAAATGAGAGGATTTCTCATATCCATCCCACGATATTGTGGTATTCACCCCTATATTCATTTAACCAAATGGCGGGAAATGAGAAAATAAAAAAAACCCGAATCTCAATCTTGGCCCCCCCACCCCACACCCCCAGCTATAAAACCCTTACTCTTCCCTTCCCTCTATTTCTTCACTTTCTCCTTAAAATCCTAAATACAAAAGCAGAACTAATGCAATTCCAAATATCCATCGAGATCGGCAAAAAGGTGCATGATTTCACTATTTCCCCAACCCCCGTTTTCTCAGTATGTAAATCTTGAATTTTACTGAATTTATTTCTAATTTTCCATCACAGAAATGTCCACTTATGCAGAAGATTTCTCTCAATTTGGTATTTCAGTAGAGGTAAATCCCATCCATTTCTACACTTAATTCAAAATTTTCACAATTTTGGGTTTATTTTTGTGTGTATATTACTGTATACAGGAAAAAGACAAACTTGTAGCAGAGGTGATTCGTTATGTATTATTCAAAAGTGAACAAAATTCAGGGTGTCCTATAAAGAGGGAGGATTTAACACAATTGATTACTGGCAAGAATTACCGTCAAAGAAATTTACCTGCTTTTGTTATTAATGAAGCAAAATTGAAGCTTTCCTCCATTTTTGGCTTTGAAATGAGGGAACTTCAGCGCTCTCGTTCGTCTACTCAAAATGCTCGCTCCTCTCAGCAAGGTCTTGTTTTAATTATTGCTCTTAATACTCCAATTATAAATATGAGAACTTTTCTCTTTTGGGTCGTTTTATTTGAGGAACCAGGAGGGGTTCAAGATGCCTCTGAATTTACTGACCATTTTAGTTAGTGGGTTCGAAAATTTAATATTTGTGCATATTTTGTAAATATTTTAATATATATAAAAGTAGTGATACTTTCTTATTTGCCATTTTGCTTCTTCAATGTTTTAGCTGTATTCAGTAATTAAAACTCCAAATTATGTGCCCCAAACTTTGGTCTAGTTGTAAAAGTGCAACACGTGATGTATGGGTTAGGTGCAAGTCAAGGGTTTGAACTCCATTACATACTAAAGTGAAAAACCTAATATTTAAGTAGAGAAGGGTCGAGGAGCTGTCCGGGAATTTCTCGGTTATCAAAAGAAACTCCGCATATGTGAATCTTAGTGTAGCATAGGCCTTTAAAGGGGCGATATGCCATTTTTTCCGTCAATTAGCTAGAGTGTCGTCTAAATTCGCTTTCTGCAATATTTAAGAAAAAGGGCCTTTGTCAAATATTCTTGTTGTTTATCTTAGCCTCGGGCCTTAGATTCTGGTTACTGTTATTGCATGTCATTCATCTTTTGGTTTTTATGCTTCTGTTACTATTACGGTTTCTGCTGGAGTTACTAATGAATTCTTTTTTCTTGTTTTTTATTTTATTTTCGTCTTTCTGAGCCGAGGGTCTATCGGAAACAGCCTCTCTGCCCCTATTGGGGCAGGAGTAAAGTCTACGTACACATTACCCTCCCCAGACCCCACTATGTGGGATTTTACTGGGTAGTTGTTGTTGTTGTTGCCCTTTGTCAAATATATTCAGTAAAGTAAATTGGTAGAATTTTCCGTAGATTTTGATCTTTTTAATTTTTACTTTTAGAATAGAGAGAGAACATAAATTAAGGATACCACTCAGAAATTTTATCAATCCCTAAGCTTCCACCAGATGTCATAGCACATGCATTCAGTCTTCCCGAAGAAGGCAAAGAGCCTCTTCTTGATGTGCAAAACATAGCCGGTTTCAAGCCGGATAAGGAAGAACGGGTTGCAGTAGGTCAATGATCAACACTAGCATCCATTTTAGTGTGAAATGAGGGTCGGAAAATAGCAGAATAGATCCAGAGAATTCATATAGCCAATGCCAACTAGTTTAGGATTAAGCTGTAGTTGATTTTACTGAGTAGTTCAAAACTTGCATTATTCCCATATGGTGTTACATATTCTTTAGGTCGTCGATTTAGCTTCTTTATTATCAAAAAGATGACTTCTGTAGGCATACCATTGAAAACTCCTGTTGCATTCTGTCTGAATATCTCTTAGATTCATAGTAGGAAGTGTGTATATTTGCTCCTTATATTAAGTTATAATCTTCAAGAACAAACTGCAGTTGCAACTTTCATTGTATAAGGACTATATTAGTAGTGTTAGATATTCGGGGTGCAAAATGGAATTCATCTGATCAAGCTGCAAACTTCTTATAGTGTTTGTTAAGCTCATTGGAATCATAGGCTGCATATTTTGTTATTTAATTGTGTATTTCCAATACGACTTCTTCATGGACAGTGGCAGCTGATGCGAAGTCGTATATCCTCATAAGTCAGCTACCCAAAGAAGTATACGAGGCATGTGTGCAGGATGAAAATAAATCACATGTCACTGGTCTTACTTTTGTGGTTATTAGCATTGTTCATCTTGCTGGAGGCAAAATTACTGAAGGTATGTTTGCATTTCGAGTTGTATTTGAACATATTTAACTATTCCTATTTTCTCTGTGTCCGTTACTTGCTAATTTCTGATGAGAAATTAAACTTAAAATTGCTGCCATGAATGTGTTAAAGAAAATCTTTGGCATCAGTTGAGAAGGCTGGGATTGTCTGAAACTGATGAAAGCCATCCTGTTCTTGGAAACCTCAAACTGGCATTGGAAGCACTTGTTCAACAAAGGTTAGAACTGACAAACCAGAGGAGTCCATGTCCATGACTCTCAGTTCTGCTTTCTGGTGTTAACTTTTTGTTTTTGCACATTCAGATATTTGCACAAAGAGAAGGTGAATGGTCCTGAAGGTAATACAATATTTTATGAACTTGCTGAGAGGGCACTAGACGGGCCAATTAATGATGGAATGAAAGAGTATATATCAAAGGTATAATTCAGACTTTTGGCATGTCTTATATTTTTAGTATTCTGTTATTGCTCTAATGCACAATGGGCCATTGTAAATGCACACTAGGTCATTTGTTTCCGTTGTCCTATTTCCTTGTTGCTACTGTCTATTTATTGCTTCTTTTTCACTATTCATGAGCCGAGGGTCTATCGGAAACCGCTTGTCTACCTTCGGGTTAAGGTCTACATACACACTACCTACCCCAAACCCCACTTGTGGGATTTCACTAGGTATGTTGTTGTTGTATTATTGCTTGAATGACGCTATGTCCATGTTGTGCAAAGGTATGAGTTTAAGAGAGCTGCATAAACCTTGATGGCCAAATACATATGCAGCCCCTTAAAGTTGTCACTAAATTCCATTTAGACACTTGAACTGGGGTGTGCACCTATTAGACACTTCAATTTCAGCAAATGTGTATCTATTAACCACCTTTTTGACACTCCCAGAAAAAATAAAGAGTGTGACGTACAAACGCATCTGATGTGGCAGGTTAACGAATGAGCGAATGACACGTGTAAAATCAGTTACAAGAAAAAGGAAAAGCTCCCTGACAAAATTCTTTTCTCCTTCACCCTTTCTTATCGTCTTCTTCTTTCGTCTTCCATCTATCTTATTCTTTTCTACTTTTCCTTTCTTCATTCTTTTCTGCCTTTTTGTTTCCCTTTTTTTTTTTTTTTTGTTTCTCTTCTATTTTCATCTTTTTTCTTCGGTTAAAACTCATTTTCACCATTAACAAACCTAGAGAAATGGAAGAGTTTGTTAAGTGAAAATGGTGAAGAAATACTTTGTTAGTAAGTATAAAGAAAGAAGGAAATATCATGTTTTTAGTAGATTTCTTTTCTGTTAGCTTCGTCCTCGCCATTATTCTCATCGTCTTTGATAACAATACTGCATTCTTCGTAACAGAAGCTTCAGTTGAATTTGTGTCCATTTAGATATGCAGAAACTTTTAAGTAGAGAACCTGGTGGATCACTAACAACAACAAGACAGAATCATCAGTTATTGGAGCAGGTGGTTTATTAGGTTTTGAGTATTTACCGGGAGCCACAAACCACAAGTTATGAAGAAAAATAATTAAAATGAGCCATGTAAATTTCGGAATTGAAGACATGTTTATTTAAAGTGCTTCCATAGCTGCTTCTTGGTCTCTGTTGTGGAGAGGAGAGAGGAAAACTAGAAGAAAGACTAAAAATGAAAAAGGAATATAAAAAAAGTAGTAATAGAACTGTATTAGCCATTTTCAAGGCATTAACGCGCTGAAAACGAGTGGGACATACGCACTCCACCACATCAGCAGATTGTGTCTAATAGACACGGTTTGACTCGAGTTCAAGTGTTTAACAGGTACAACTCTTAGTTTAGGTGCATGAAAAATCTGGGCAAGTTTAAGGGGCTGCATATGTATTCAGCCGACCTTGATCATGAAGTTTCAATCATTTTGTTAGTAAACTTTTGCTGCGTCCTTATGGTTCCTGAATAGTTATTTGAGTAGATCTGTGCGAGAAATATATCGTATTGCTAAGGTATCACATCTCCTTGCATCAACATGAATATATGCCTGTTGTCTAGGACTTTGGTGCCCCCCTTATCGGTGAGTTGTGGTGATAACGGTAGCTACACACCGTAGAAAGTGTTTCTAATTTCACATTTATAATTGATGCTCTTTGCAATTTGATAAACTAGCCATTTGGTCAATTCCAAAAATTCAGATGGACTAACAATTGATCCTTGAAATTCCCTATTGCAGATTGTGAACAAAGACATTGCCTCTGTGGATTGCTGACTGGGATTCTTCACAAGTGTTTTTGGCCATAATTCATAACTGTATGAGATTAGTCTTTGAAGCTGTTAATTTGGTAATGATGTTTTAGATTAATCTGAGGGGTACCGTTTTCGTTCTTGGTCGACTTTTGTGAAGGACACCCCATTAGTGTATTTAGGCAGCTGTGTTTATGTTACTGTCCTACTAATTAGTATCTGTTTAGAAGTATTAATACAGCCCCTCTTCCAGCTAAAGTTTTGAATTGGTATTTTTTTGGATATTAGTATATCATGCATCCATCTAAAACATATCTTTTGACAGTGTTGTCAAAGGCTCACTTAAGGCACAATTACGCCCTGAAGTTAGGTGCAAAATTGGTTGAGCACTTAACTTCGCTTGGTTGGTGCTCAAGTGCAGTCACCAAGGCGCTAAGGCACTCATTATGAAATAGCGTTGGCCTGCACAATTTTTCACTTAATTGTAATTTTTTTAGTTCATCTGTCCATAAAATTGTTATTTATGCTTATAATGACTATTCTTGAGTTTCATTTTCTAAACGTTTCTATTGTTTTGCACTTTGCGCTATTTCCTAGGGAACATCTTTGCGCTTTTTGCCTTTTGATAACATGGGTAAGTCATTTGCTTGAACAATTAGCAATCCACGTCGTTGCCCTTGTCCACAATTTAACTTAGTTAATATTGAAGGTCTACATTAACAATTATTCATCCAATAGAAAAATGACCGCTAACAAGCACATGGAAACTGTTGATAAAAGTTAAACTAGTGCTGTCATTCCCACAGGCTATGTAAATGCTTCCCTTTACTGTATTGGCAGCTCCAAATTAGGTTCAAATGCTGTTAGGGGAGAAAACTATTTATCTAACATGTCGTTCGTTACATGTTCCAAGCTAGGAGGATTCCACTACATGTAACAGCAACTAGACGCTCTAACAACACAACTACTTTAGCTGAAGCAATCTTCAATAGGTAAGTAAGGCCAGATTACTCCAGAAAATGCTCAGTTTAGCACGATGTGATAATCTTTTCCAACAACTATCAAGCAGTATGGTGGAATGGATGAGATTCCTCCACCCTTAACTAATGTCTTAGCACTAAGAATAGAGAAATTCTTGGTAAGGAACAATTCCCCTTATGTGGCATGAGTCCGGAGCCAATGTGTTTCAGAAACCGAATGATTAAATAAAAAATAGTTAAGACTCTGAAATGAGTTGGGCTTGGCAATATAAACTCAGAGCATTTTTCATAAAGCACTATGGTTTAGAGCCTAGTAACTATAGTTTGCCTAATTACCATTCGTAGCTACTATTCAATTGTTATCAGCTTGTATCACTTGTATTCAAACTCGCAACGAATAGAATATAACTAATGCGAATACAGAAATATAGAAAAATAATATGCTCTTACTAATAGACCTTCACTAATTAAGTGGATGCTCTAACCAGCTGAACTACGAGAGCTTGTTGCTTTCTCAATTCAGTTTAAAACAAATAATCTCTTGTTCATGGATTTACTATAAAACTCAAATAGTTATAAATGATAAATTTGCTGAAAGTAATGTTTGACGTGTCGAGTAATTTTTCCTCTAAACTCTTATCTGTGTGTTTCTTTGTCTTTTTCTTGTTTGTGTATTTTCGTGTTTTCTCCCATTTAATTGTATTAAATTATTGAAAATGTGTTTCTGCCCATACTCCAAATGAGTGATAAAAATGCATGCTTAAATGCATTAACTGTGAATTGTTTCAATGGCAACTACCTACACTTCATGATATTTGCTCCACATGATCAATATCTCATTTTCATTCTACACTATTGTGACTATCACAAAAGATTACAGTTAAGCATCACCCACTATTTAATACTACCATTACCGGCGACTAACTGTTATCTTTAACCGATCATTGGACAATAAATTCGAAAAACTTATTAAATTCGTAAAAATTGCACGGGCGTTTTATTGGTCGCCCCCATTTAATCTATACCCATTTTCTTTTTAAATTTTTTTAACTTGTACCCATTTTTTAAACAACTTCAGCCCCCTTTCTCCTCCTCCTCCTCCTTCTTCTTCTGCTGCTGTTGGTGCTGCTATGAAACTTCAGTTCATTGGATGATTGCCATAAGTATGTTTATCAGATTATTTAAAAATAAATTATAAATAATTACGTAAGTTAGTAGACAATAATTTGTGAATATTTTCACGTACGGAAAGTTTAAGGTCACACTTAGTGATTCTTTTCATGATAATTATGTTCTTTTCACGTTTATCGTTTCCAAAATTTTATGATTTAGATACGGTTGACAATCTGATTATTTTATAGTAGTCTGATTATAACAAAACTAATAAATCTAAGACAAAAAAACTTCAGCTTATTTAGTGCTGAAATTTTTACAAATGAACTAAATAACTTCAGCATCTTCTGCTGAAGTTTTTAAACAAGCTTTATGACAAAATTAATGAATCCAGGGCAAAAAAAACTTCAGTTTTTTTAGTGCTGAAGTTTTTACAAATGAACTAAATAACTTCAGCATCTTCTGCTGAAGTTTTTAAACAAGCTTTATGACAAAATTAATGAATCCAGGGCAAAAAAAACTTCAGTTTTTTTAGTGCTGAAGTTTTTACAAATGAACTAAATAACATCAGCATCTTCTGCTGAAATTTTTGAAAAAGCTTATCCAGAACAAAAAAACTTCAGCTTATTTAGTGCTGAAATTTTTATAAATGAACTAAATAACTTTAGCATCTTCTGTTGAAGTTTTTGAAAAAGCTTAATGATAAAACTAATGAATCCAGGACAAAAAAACTTCACCTTATTTAGTGCAATTACAAACAAAAACTTCAGCAAATATAGAACAAAACTTCAGCTACTATGCTTAAGTTCAGCAATTACAAATAAAAATTTCAGCAAATAAAGAACAAAACTTCAGCTACTATGCTTAAGTTCAACAATTACAAACAAAAACTTCAGCACACTTGCTACTTCATGCCCGTCTACTAGAATGCTGAAGTTTTGCGTGATTGCCTTTGCTACTTCAGCCCCGTATGCCGAAGTTACGCGAAAAAGTGGGTACACTTGCAATTTTTTTTGCAAAGCGGGCACAAGTTAAATGTGACCTAAAAAGCGGGTATAGATGCAAATGCCCCATTAAATTCATACGACTGGATACCGTATATGATATTAGTTGTACTTATTTTAGCACGATCTATATAGTATTTTTAAATTATGTTAATTTTATTATGATGTATTAATTAGTAATATTTTCTTTGTGCGATTTTATTATCTATGTTATTGAATATTTTAGTACAATGTTATGACTCATCTCATATTATTATTATTATTTTATTTTCTTGGAAAATATATTATATAGTTGTATTCCACTAGGATAAAAATAAAAATTTGGAGCACAAGTTACATATTTTGTGCTATTAAGATTTTACCGGAAAAAAACCCGAAAACACAAAAAAAAAAAAAACCAAAAAACCCGAGATTGAAAAATCTGACTTTATTGGTTTGGTTTATAAATTTAAAAACCAGTGGTTTGATTTGGTAATTAAAAAATCCGAACCAACCAAACCTATGTATACCCCTAATGATTTCTTACATTAATTTTTAAGTCATTGAAATTAGTTGACCAAGTGATTCATGCTAAACCTTGTCTTGGTCCAAACTCCAAAAATTGGCTAATAATAATTCCTTTACCGCCCTAGCTACTACTACTACAACTACTAGTATCGTGGGCACACAACAGCGTTTTATGAAACCTTCCGTGCAAGGAAAATGCCTCTTTCCACTTATGGTTAAACTAAGGAATTGGATGTTAATGATCATAAAATTAATCATACTTATAGATGTAAGAGGTCTTACTATAAATAGAAGTACTAATATTCTTCTCAATAATACATTTTAACTTTAATTGTCCCATTAAAAATAAATCTCAATTACATATTAATCTGAGAAAGACAGAAATCATTCGAAAACTAAATAATTGGGAGCTTGGCTGGTGGATTTTGAAACTTCACGTGGATACATAATTGGTACTTTTAATTTATTATGATCCCTTTTCTATGCTATGGATGCGAAAAAGAAAAAGAAAATAATAAAAATATTCAACAGACTTTATCATATAACTCATAAGCAAACGTTCAACTGCAAATTAAATTAAAATTATTGTTTTACCCCACATGGAATTGATGAACGTGAAGCTTAGAACAGAACTCACATGGAATAGTATGATTTTAGTTGGAGGAAAGTTTCCGAATAAGATGGTGGATAGAAAGAAAAATTAGAACTAACATCAATAACCCACTAGACGAATCTTAGTCCTTAAATCAGTACGCTGCACGAGCTCGGCATGATATCATATTTTTATATTTAAAAATTATTTAACTTTAAGTTTTTAATTTAACCCTTACTGACATGGTTCTATAGCTACAAAAAGTTTATACCATAAGGGGTCGTTTAATTTAACCCTTACTCGGCATGATATGTGTATTAGTAATGCAAGCATTAGTTATGCAAATATTATTTCTTATCTATTGTTTGGTGTGGTGTATTAAAATTATAATGCATTGCATCATTTTTTTAAAAAAATAGTTGCTTACAAAAATGCCCTCCATATTCTCTAACTTTAAGAGACTTTAAGGACAATTTTGTCTTTAACCATGCTAATGCATGCATTAAAGCCTTGGTATTACTAATGCCATGGTTTTCTATGCACTACTTATGCATAGGATAATACCAAGTATGATGTATAATTAATACAAGTATTAGTTATACACAAGTTGAAAAAAGGTACCAAACAAGGTATTAGTAATGCATAGAGCTAATGCTTGCATTATTTTTTCTAATACCTCCTACCAAACAACCCCCAAGAGTGTAAGACTATAATTTTCAAAAAAATAAATAAAAAATTGAGCGTATCTAAGCAAGTACCTACACATAAAATGAAAGAGAGAGTAGTACATAGTAATATCAGTATGCCTATGCCCCTTTTCTCATTTCCCTCGTCCCATTACTTAGGCCCATCCCCAAAAAGGCAGAAAGCAAAAAGATTTTCAAAAAGAAAAAGAAAGGAAAAAACCACCAATTTAATGGCTCAGTAAACTTTAAAAAAAAAAAAAAATTTCCTCTCGAAAGAACTATACNACTTAGGCCCATCCCCAAAAAGGCAGAAAGCAAAAAGATTTTCAAAAAGAAAAAGAAAGGAAAAAACCACCAATTTAATGGCTCAGTAAACTTTAAAAAAAAAAAAAAACATTTCCTCTCGAAAGAACTATACTATTACACAC